AGGAGGTCTTCTTTTAGGTTTAAAGGGAAGCTTGCATGAGTGACTTGGAAACCAGGGTCTGAAGCTTGGCAGTTTCCGAAGAGGAAATTCTTTCAATGCCTCTTCTGTAATATTTTGCAATACAGCGGGGTCCTTTTGCCACGGTCGATAGTGCAGAACCACCTCCATGCTTGAACCATAGGAATCCACATGTTCTTATTGAAATGTTTCTTGGCCTCCACACTAAAAAGATGACTTTAAAAACATCTTGTCTTCTGAGCGGCACAGCTTGAAAACAGGACCTAGAGCAGAAGTATTGTAAGTAATAAGACAAGTAGCTTTACCACCCTATTAACCATCATTCTGATCCAGTTTTTGCTAGAAAAAAATGTTGTAACAAACAGAACTTATTGCCAGGGTACACCACTGAAAAAAAATTCCTCAGCACAGCAGTACCTCGCTCAACCTCATTAACTGCCTTTTCTTCTTGACCTCCATCTGGCTCTGCCTACTACTTCTAATTCAAACCAGAGTGCTGTAGCAGCCTTTGTGATGGCAGAAATTAAACCTGAAGTGCACCTACTGTAAGAGATTTGAGCTGCAAGACCAACCTTCAATCTGATCTTTCATGAACTGCTAAGAGAGAGAGAGAGAGAGTAGTGAAATATGTAGGAGACGGAAGGGCAGGAGAGGCAGAATGCTGGGAAGAAAGGCTAACCATTTAAAAACAGAAGATCCGTGGAAGAGAACTGAAGTGTAATAAACACACCATGTGTAAAAAAAACAGAGGTCATTTGCATGCACCTTAATGTGTAAAATGTAGGGCAGGATTCCCACCACAAGAATACTGACTTTAAAGCTGCTCTGTGTACTGGATACCTAGTGGTATAGTCAGGGGTCATTTCGTAGAAAAAGAGCTAGGGGGACTCATTAGCATAACTCATTAGCATATGCCACACCCCCTGACATCACCGGAAGTGTGTCCTCCCCACAGCCAGCGGCGACCTCCAGCGGGCACCAGCAGGGAGCTCCAGGCCCCGCCCTCCCGCACCTCACCCGGGGGGATGGCGTCGCCCCGCATCCCCCCCCCAAATGACCCCTGGGTATAGTCACAGTTGGGAAAAATGTAAATCCAACACTAGCATTGCTAACAATATCGCATGCAGATTATCTCAGCTCAGTAACAGGAAGGCTAAAACATTCCCTGACAGAAAGCTCTTAAGCACAAAAAAAGGATTGCCTGTTCCAACATTTGCTGATGACATCCCATAATGAGTCAACCTGAAAAGGGTTTAGAAATTGGAGGAGATGGTGATACATTCCAAAGACAGACACTTTTCCCATAATCTTGGCCCTTGATAACTCTAGTAGCTGCTTTGCTGTGCACTGCTTTCTCCACAGATGCCTCTCTGAACAGCTGCATCAGAAGTTTCTGAGTTGGAAAAAAGCTTAGGGAAGGGTTAGCACACAAAAAAAGGAAGGAAGGAAGGAAGAAGTAATTTCATACAGTTCCCCCTGTGCAATGCCACCCATTCACTACAGCCCCTGTGCAATGCCTTTGTTTAGGAGGGTTCCCCAATCCTCAGCAGAAGATTTTTAGGGGCATGCAGGGGGCTTCTGGGGTAAGGTTTTGCAACCCCTACCATAACTTTCCCCCCCCATTGGATATAAGCCATTTTATCTAGTTTTATTTTCAGCCAACTACAGATGAAATCTTTGTCTAGCTATCTGGGCCCAAATATATGAAAAAAATAATTCACTGTAATTGTTGGTGGCATTTTGCCACAAATGACCCTGCTTGAGTCAAACAAAACACTAAAACTTCCTTAAGTGAAAGGATCCCAAATTCAGAGTATGATGCAAGTGTCATACCCCTTCTTCTAACAGTGGGTAAGGACAATTCTGGAGGAAAGGGAACAGTTTAGTAACATGGAGGAGCCAGCAGAAGAAACACAAGGCCCAAACAAGTCAAGAGGTACACAGAGACTTCCACATAGCTCAGAAACTGATCTCACCTCCCCAAGAAAAAACACTGTTTCTAAGAAGTGCTTCTGAAGCAGTACTAGGGAAAACACGAGAAGGGTAGAAGAGAAGATTGGTAAGTCTTAATTAGCAACTATTAATGGTTTTACTGGAACTGATGAAAGTTTTCTGAATTGAGGTGAAAATGAAGTGTGCAGCATGATTCTATGCAGAGTTATGTGCACCTTAGCCCATCAAAATCAGAGGGCTTACGTGTGCCTAACTTTGCATAGGACTGCAGCTATCCTGAAGCATATTGTGACACTTAAATAGTAAGTTTCACTTTGAAACAGCTACAAAAATTTATCAAAGCAAAACTGAAAAGGTTTGATATATCATTAATTTCAACAGGTCATCATACTTAAAATCAACATGTTCTCTTTCAAGGATATACAGGTAATGAAAATATTAACAGAAGCAAAATAAAGATTCAGAGAAGTAGGTAAAAAGGTAAAGGTAAAGGTTCCCTTGCTCGAAAGCCAGTCGAATCCAACTCTAGGGTTGCGGTGCTCATCTCCGTTTCAAAGCCGAAGAGCCAGCGCTGTCTGAAGACGTTTCCGTGGTCATGTGGCCGGCATGACTAAACACCAAGGCGCACGGAACGCTGTTACCTTCTCACCGAAGTAGTACCTATTTATCTACTTGCAATTTCTTGCTTTCGAACTGCTAGGTTGGCAGGAGCTGAAACTAGAGATGGGAGCTCACTCCATCATGCGGCACCCGGGTCTCGAACTGCTGAACTACTGACCTTCCACAGCCTGCAGTTCAGCATCTTAACCACTTGCAGCTCCTAATATCTAATTATTTATCTATCTATCTAATATCTAATATTTGGGATTCCTTGGAGGCTTTTAAGCAGAGGCTAGATGGCCATCTGACAGCAATGCTGATTCTGTGAACTTAGGCAGATTATGAGAGGGAGGGTAGGAAGGGTTGCATCAGTGCTTAGTTCTTGTGGCCCTTTCTTACATGCCCAGGGAAATGCCAATCACCACTTTTGGGTCAGAAAACAATTTTCTCCAGGCCACTTTGGCCAGGGATCCTGGAGGGTTGGGATCTTTTTTGACCATCTTCTGGGCAGGGAACAGGGGTCACTGGGGGTGCGGGGGGAGGTGGTTGTGACTTTCCTGCATTGTAAAGCGGGTTGCACTAGATGACCCTAGGTATCCCTTCCAACACTGATGCTATGATTCCTTTTGAAATCAAATGCACATCCATAGTCTCAGTTCTTATATTTTAAGGAAAAGCATGTTAAGAATATTATCATGTTTACTTGGTCTACCAAAACTACACATAATGAAAACCCAACAACCATTTTCAAAAGCAAAAGCACTGATGACCAAATCCTATATTTACAAATAACTCAAGTGTGTTAATTATATTGTGTTCCAAATGGTATTACAGGCCCATTAGAAAATATACTCCTCTGCAGCACCTGCTAAAATCCATATTGTAAAAAAATTGTTTAAAATCTTACACCTGCACAAGTTGATTGGGACTGATCTCAGTGATGTTCACAAGCTCTCTTCTCTTGTATATCCACTGGTGGTGGAAAGTGCCATCAAGTTGCAGCTGACTTACAGCAACCCCATAGGGTTTTCAAGACAAGAGATGTTCAGAGGTGGTTTACCATTGCCTGCCTCTGCATTGCATCCCTGGTACTCCTTGGTGGTCTTCCATCCAAATACTGGCCAGGGACAACCCTGCATAGTTTCTGAGATCTGACAAGATTGGGCTATCCAGGCCATGGTACTATTGCAAAAGATAGTCTTGCTTTATCTCATAGATACTATTGTTGGCACTTGAAGAAAAAGAGATTGAAGTCTAGCCTCTAGCCCATGGAATTCAGGGCCAAACTATACAATACTTTATTTATCAGGTCTGGGGAACCTGGACCCAGCCTGCTTTGCTCACAGCCACACAGCAGCTGCAGGGAATGGTGTTTTAAAAGTTGTGGGAGCCCTATTAGGCTTAGGACCACTGAGGAGAGGAGAGGAGAGGCACTGGGAGAAGAGAGGCACTGGGAGAGGAGGGGCTTCTGCCTTCCTCCCTCTCCCCAAGGCATTTCCCTGAACTGAAAGGGAACTGAGGAACTGCACTTCCTGTTTCCTAAATATACGCCACCCTTATCTGAAAGCTCTTTCTTCACCACCACTGTCCCTCATAGTACACCACTGAAGCAGCACATCCATTTGGATTAACATATTATAACAAAATCTGCAGAGATGCAGCTATCAATCATAGAAGACCTTCATCAAAACTGACCTTAAAAACAAGCAGACAGACAAACTATTGATTTTTCACTGCAGGTTGGAGATGTTTTGGAATGAGCACTTCAACATAAGAGAAATACAGAAAACTTGGAAGCTGTGACATGCAAGCCAGGTGACCCATTTCAAGCTCTGTCATTTTGTTGCTTAGTTCCTACTTCCTTATTCAACTCATAGGTGCACAAGCTGCCTGAAAAGGTTTGCACACCTCTATTCCACTAAAGAACCCAGACAAAACCTCCTACTCCTGTCACCAGGAGCCTGTCTCCTACAACACTATTGTAACTGCCCCAAAGCTTTGTTTTAGCCCAACTCATACGAGTAAGGAGCAGGGATTTCAAAATCCCATATCGTGCAGTGCCCCGGTTGCATATATACTTCGGCCATGGGGGTACAGTAGGTTATAGCGTTCAGTGGGAGATAACGGTGAAGCATCTCAAATGGGACGTCCTTAGATCATGGAAATGTTTGATTTAGACCAACCGAAGCTTATTTTGGAAAGCAGAGGCGCACAAATCGTGGCTTTGTTCAGGTTGCAGATGCATGTTTGTGTTGACTAAAGAACTGGGATCCAGAAATCAGCTTCGTCTCGCAGCTTCCCCACCTGGTCTACTCTGGAGACGTTTTAGGCTCTGAGAGGCCTCGCCTCAGAGCTCCCGAAGAGGCGCCAGGAAACGAGATCTGAGAAACCGGAGAGGGCAGGGAGCGGGTGTCGGGGGAATCTAGTACCTTTGAGGGCCAAGAGGTGCTCCTGCTTCGGTTGAGTAACATCCATCGCCTCAGCCGCTCCCCTCTGTAGCTTTCTTCGTTATGGAGTCAACCGAAGGCAAACCTCCACCAGTGACGAGCAGAAATATGTCAAGATAACAACAACCAGGGAACCCGCTCTGGCTGCGTCCCGCTATCATACGCCGGTTGTGCTTCCCGCAATCCAACGCACTCCCGTCACTGCTTCATAAACTACAAACACCAGACGTCCTTCCCGAAACGCTTCCCTGTCGGCTTCCGTACACTCTCCGGAATAGATTCCAGTGTGGGTTTTAACCTCCCATTTTGGACGCAGAGACGCTTTCGACGTGATGCATGATGGGATTTGTAGTCTTCTTGGTCCCCTATCGAAGCGACTAAAAGAAGACATGCGCAGAGGCTAAAAAGCAGCTGCCCCACTAAAAAAACCCGACCTTCTCGACGTGACGCGGTATCCCTACCTAGGGCTCGCTTTGGTGACGTTGTCGCACAGCCCCGCCTTTCCCCGTCTCCAGGGGGACCTCGGCTGCTGGAGGCGGCTCCTCCTCTGTCTTTATCCAGGCGAAGATGGCGGCCTTCAGTGTAAACAAGGTCGGGGCTGGCGCGGGGATGGATGCTGGCAACAGGCAGAGCCGCGGGTCGGCTGGGCCCGTCGTCAAGGTGAGCATAGAGCGGCCTGGGTGGGTCTCCCTGGAGGAACCCCCGCGTCATCGCTGCCCTTGGAGGCGAGAGGAGATGCACTCCAGGGAGGGATACCCCGTGCAAGATCCCGGCCCACTTTTCATTCTCTTCTGCAGCGCTGTTCCACAGTACATTTCCATTTGTAGAACTGGAGTCTTGCAGAAGAAATGATGTCTCCCATTTGCCATGTACTTAATCCTCTTCTCCTCCCACGTGCCAGGTGCTGTACATAGCCTGCTCACTAGATTTATTTTTAAAACCTGCAGAACGTGTTAAATGTCGCAAAATGAATCGACTGGCTGGAGTACTGCAGAAACATAAGGGGGAATCTGCCCTTTTCTCGAGCAGAATCCTTTGTTTTTTACAGCTGTGGATAGGTAGAGATTCTTCTGAGAACATGAATCACAATAACAAAAGCCCATTCCACCTCTCTTCTGGTCTGCCTGTCGTGTAACTATTGAAGGTGCAGGAATTCCTCCACAAAACTACGTGGCAGTGCAGCCAGTGGAGTGCTGAAAATATCAGTGACAAGCCTTAAGTTGGCACATTATTACTGTCGGTTCAAATTAATGGGAAATTGTTTTAATTCTGTATTCTGAATAGTAATCTGGTTTTAGGCTTCTCTTGGAATCTTTTTCTTTGTCGAGGTTAGAGTGAAATGAGGGGGGATGAGTTTAGAAAACCTTCATCAGACAAATTAGCACAGAGTAAAATGTGTTTTGTCCAGTGTGTTTTAGGATGTATATTAGATATTCCAGGATGCATTTTTAATATAATAAATGCTCATTGTGTAGAAGTAGTAATACTTAGCATTTTCAGCTTCATTTATATGGTAGTCCAGGAGTCCCCAACATGGTGACCAACAACATTTTTCCTGCTTTCCACCAAGTGTTTTAAAAGGCAGGGGGGCAGGTAGGGCTTTTTGCCCAACATGGCCACTGAAAAATTGTTTGGCTGTGCAGATTTTTAGAAATGTTTCTTTAGCAATAGCTGCCACCACAGCAGAAGGATCTTCATTGTGTTACTGAAGGTAGGGTGTAGCAGCCACTTTGTGGCTGTGTCAAAACTCTATAGGTGCTGGCAGGTTCAAAAAGGTTGGGGACCCCTTGGGTAGTTTGCAACTTAATTGTATGGGGTTTGAACTGAGGAATGAATGAGGCTGCCATGTTACCCACTCTCCTCTGGTGACTTCTCTGTTGACCACATATGATACAGATATTCTTAACTACCTCCAGTACAATCCTGTCTGCCCATTAAGATGTTCAGGTGAATATTAGAGATGAAGCCTTTTCACTGGGGGTGATGTGTCGTTTGTTGTCTGTCTTTAGGTGCCAGAGAAAGGCTTTTCTGGTTTGTTCTGTTTTTGATTGCATTTATGTTGTTGCTAGCTAATTGGTCTCTGACCATGATGTAATTATTGCTCATCTCAGTCTACTGCTTTATCTCTTAATTTGCATCCTTATAGTGTTGTGATGGTACTGCTTTGATCTTTTGCTTCATAGTTGTGGTTTTTTTAATACCGCGTTTCTCCAATTTCGTTTACTTGTGTGGGTTTTATATAAGTTGCTGTGATTGCTTTGGGAAAGGATGAAATAAATGAATAAACCATTTGAACATGAACATTTTCTTTTTGCAAATTATAGGTTCTGGAATGTGGTGTGTGTGAAGATGTATTTTCATTACAAGGAGACAAAGTTCCCCGACTGCTTTTGTGTGGCCATACAGTATGTCATGACTGTCTCACTCGACTTCCTCTTCATGGCAGAGCAGTTCGCTGTCCCTTTGATCGGCAGGTTACTGAGCTAGGTAAGCATATTTTAAATTGAAATAGTGGAGGTCACCAAGAGTGTGGGAATAATAGTAAGATTCTGTCTATAGACATGCACCTACTAAAACAAGATTTTCTCTTTGTTCAGAAGCTTTATTGTGTGTTGTAGCTCTCCACATAATAGATGTGACATTTAGACAGCTTAGATACAATGGTGAGCTCCCCATTGTAAGAAAACATTGACAGTGCTCAGAAGGATTCCTTTTCAGAGATGGGCTTCCACGAGAGCGCTAGAAGTACCTTGCTGAATTAGTTCAAACAACCATCAGTTCAAGCATTTCTCCCCTAGTGACCAGCCAGATGCTGCTGGAGAACCTCACAAGCAGGATATGAAGGATTTTATTACCTGCGTCTAGGAATAAAGGTATCCTTTAGTTTATTGGTGTCAGTCTTACTTCAACAAATGGAAGCATGTACAGCTACTGACTGTGCACATGATGTGAACTGCTGGTACACATGCTTTCTACATTGTGGCTACTGCCTTGTGGAATGGCCTGCTTGCAGAGGTCAGGAAAGCTCCCACTCTCCTGGCCTTCTGCAAACTATGCAAAAGGCCAGGAAGGTTTTCTGCACATGTAATAAGGCTGCACAGTACAAAATGGTTCACAAACTTACTTGAATGAATTATTGGGACTAGGGATGGGCACAAACTGGGGAAATGGTGGTTCACGGTTTGTTTTATTACACGAACCATGAATGTTCACAAACTTCCCATTTCTTGAACCGGTTCTTGGTTCATTTGGTTAATGAGTTTGGGAGGTGGTAGAATAGCCCCCTCGCAAGTTAGAGATGCCAGACGCACAGGGAGTCTTCAGCAGGCTCTCTTCCACCTGCTCCAAGGTTAGGGATGTCTGAGTTATAGCCCCCCAAAGCAGGTGCCCCCAGGAAAGCTCAGCTCTAGCCTCCCCTTAAGTCAGCCATGCAGCAAGCAATTCTTACTCTCTCTAACATGACGACTAACTTCTCTCTCTTCCTGCTGCTAAGTGAGTCGGGGTGTGATATATATACAATCTGCTCCCATAGAGCAGAACGGGAACTCCTTGGTTGGCTCCCAGAGCTGGCAATCAAGCTATGGACAACTGCTATGGGTGTTTCTAGGACTCTCCACAAGTCCACCCCCAGTGTTGCCTAGGAATTGATTGAATTGGCACCAGGCTGTCTGGAAAACAAACTGCTCTAATGGACCAAATGAACCTCCACAGAAAAAAGGTGGTTCATTTTTGGCTTCAGGAACCAAAAGAACCGGTTCAAAACAAACCATGAACTGGCCTGGTTTGTGCTTGAACCACGGTTCATTTCTCAGTTCGTGCTCATCCCTAGTTGGGACTTGCAGTCTATACTGCTATATATAACATATTGTAAGTAAGATCCTATTATGTAGTTTTTGTAGTGCTTAATATGTCATATTTATACTTATACTGTGCTTCTGTTTCTTTCTGGTGATTCCAGGGTTCTAATCTCCTAAGGTATTAGTTACTGAATGTCCCATTTTGTTGTTCGTATGGACTTACTATGTGTAATCCATCTTGAGTTCCTGTGAGAAAGGTGGACTATAAATAACATAAATAATTTTTAAAAAATTAATATAAAAATTGGTCTTGCCAGTATATTAATATGGACAGCCTTGAATGTAATACCAGAATCACAAAGCTCTGCAGTCTTTGACCTGGGTAACTTGCTATCAGTTCTTTTATTCACTGTCTTTTTCTTGAATCTGCAATGTAAACAGGTTTGGACTGAGAGACAGTTTTTCAGGTTACATTTTGTATATGAAGATCCATACCATTATATAAAGATGATTGTGTATTGCCACAACACTGAGTTATTTTTTGTTTTCCTGTCCTGATCTGTACATTGAGACAAGCAAACTGAACATCTTGAAGATGCAGTTAGTTGTTAGGAGTGAAAGGAAATATGTGGCATAGAATGTTATGATCTTGGCTCAGAACAGCTTTTGAGATGTCTTTGATATAGGTTGATTTATGTACAGGGAGATACTTGGTTAGAATAATCCTTTTCTAGCAGGATGCTATCAAGTGACTGTGGCTAGGTTTCCTGGTCAAGTTTAGTGAAAATTGGTTGAAAATATAATATTTAAGAAAATAGCTTACTGGCTAAGGAATATCTTGGGATAGCTTCTGAAATTCTAAATACAACTGTAAAATTGTAATTATATCGACAATTTCTTGGTGATTGTGCTGCAGGATAAGGTGCTGCCATGTCACTGGCTTCTTAAAAAGAATTCTTTAAATTCTGTATTTTTGAAGTTAATTTCACATGATTATGGAGTTGGCAATATAGATCAGACTTTATACTACAATGTGCCTACAGCAAGTTCTTATTAAGTGAAGCTTAAAGAACAGTTTGACTTGTTTAAAGGGAGAGGTCAGATATATGCCAGTTTTGTGGTTGCTTGGAAATACAGGAGAGGTCAAATTCTGGTTTTTCCCTGGCTTTTCTCCAAGCTTTCCCAAACTGGCTTTGCTGCAAAGTTTTGGGAAAGATTGCAGCAAGGCTTGCATGGCTGCCATGTGAACAGGCAGGTTTGGATTTTCCCTGTCCCACCCACGTGGTAGTCACTTTCCCTGCCCCAGCCCCTGAGGCAGCCATCTTCAAACCGCCCCCCCCACACACACACACAAACGCTGGGGACTTTTTTTGTTTTTTAATCAGCAATTGAATATGCCAGTAATGTTGCAACAATATATTTATCAGATTCTCTGAATTTCCATCTTTCATTAAAAATATATATATATATATAGCCTCTTCTCATTGCAGAGATGTGCCTTTTGCCTTAGGGAAAGTAAAGAATGTGTTTTGATTGCGATGCCCTCAGTCACTGATGAATCAAAGAAGAATGTTTGTCTAATAAGTGACTTGTATTCTACAATCAATGGGCTCAGTATTCACACTGCAGTTGCCCACATAATGCTGTCTTGTTTCGGATCTGCATGTTCCCTAGTGTTCAAGCTTGATGCCATTTCTGCAGAGGCTGCCAAACTACATGTGGTTTTTGTAGTTCAGAATTTCCATCTAGTTTCATGTGTTTAGGCTTCTATGAGATCCTATTTGAGTGGCCTGTGGAAGAAAAATATTTGAGAGGAACCTGAAAAGTTCAATATGAATGGCTATTGCATTCGTTGTAATAAATTCGTATAGGCTGTACAGTACTGACATTTCTTTAGAGGTACCCATCCATCACCATGCGAAAAGGCCCATGATGTATTTGTTTGGGCTTATAAAATATTTCTGTATGTTAAAAACTTGGAGCCTACAGAGATGGAACATTTTTTTGGCTATTTGCATTAATCCATTGCTAAAGTAAAGTAGGACTAGTGTACTTATGGGATAGTATGATCCAGCCAAAGCTCAGAGTTCTTATACTCCAGTTGAATTCATAATGCTCTCTCACTGAAATCAGTGCTACTTAAAAATACCTAACTTGGCTTGATGGTGCCAAACTAATGTAAGCTTGTACTATGTGCAATTACTGATTCTTACTGATGAAAAACATTGCATACTATGCCACCTGGATCTCATAGCAACCTAAGCTTTAAACTTGATCCTTTAGGGGAAGCATCCCATCCAGTACAGGCTGAATGCTTCTGCTAGCTCAGCTGATCTGCACTCCCAACAGCATCTGCATCTTTATTTGATTAGCCTCACTACCCATTTCTACCTCTGCTCCTGAACCAGATTAAAAGGCCAGAAAGAGTTGGGTTGCTTTGTTATTCCAACTGAATCCAGAGATGGGGGAATTAGCTGTTAGAAGGGACTCCAGAAAGATAAACAAAGGATCTTTTGTCTTTATATACAGAGGTTTTATTCCAGAGCAATATTCCCAAAGGAAAAAAGGACAGAGACCAACCAATTCAATGAAAGATTTATTTACTAACAATGAAACACACCACTAGGAGCAAACCAAAAACCCTTAAGACCACAAATAAACCACTCTCTCTTTCCCAGCATGCGCACACAAACACACACACACACTATGAGCCTAGGGTAAGGAAGAGGGAAGGGAGGGAATTTGAATGGGTGATACTACCTGATCCAAGGTTTGAGAACTGTGGAGAGTCCATGCAGCAGAAGTCCAAGGCAGCAGAGTGTCAAGGAGAGGAGAGAGAAACCTGCAAAACAGTTGCAGGGGTATCCAGGTCCTGGAAAGACCTGACATACTTTCCACTGACTTGGGATGGTCTTTTTATGGGAAGGGTCCCATAGCTAGACATGAGACCTCACTTTCTCAGGGTCAGGATTGGTTGGAGATACGAGGTTTGAATTTGAGCGGGCCATTTGAAGGTAACTATTGTCAAAATCTGGCAGAAAGGTGAGGAGAGAAATACCTGATCTTCCAAGGTGAGTCAATTGTTGGATGGTTTTAGCACATTGATAAAGGACTGGGTGTGAACCATGGGTTTGATGGCTTATCCTGGGTGGATCGGGTATTAAGGTGTCTTTATCAGTGGCTGGGTTGGATTAGCAATACTCATGGGTTGCCCAGCTGTCTATAGCTGGAAATGGTTCATATTGCCATGATGAGGTATCCCTTGGAGCAAGGGATATGATTGTATTAGGCACACCTTGGAACTGGGGGGGATGTAAATGCTTCATGCATTCCAGGGAGACCTCTGCTTAGTGATAGAATTTATCTTGATCATGGCAGACCAGGTGTGCTTTTGAGACTCATTTTAGGGATCCCCACTGTGCTTAGGCTTTCAAGGCCTTCAAAACAACTAAGGAGACGGGGGATCAGATTTGACGGGTCTCAGAAGGAAAAGAGGATGGGCTTTCCATGAGGACACTTTACCTCAGCTGTTCCCTGCAGCTGCATGTATGAGGGGGATCATATAATTCTGCAGAAAGGACCCCACAGCACAGCTGCCATTGGGCAGAAAGAAAACTGCTCAAGGCCTGTTTCTGGATAGGAATGAAAGCACTGGAGCCTGGTATTCCCATCCCACACAGGCAGGAGAGAGAGAGAGAGAGAGATTGGATTTATACCCCGCCCTTCACTTGGAGTCTCAGACTGGCTTACAAACTCCTTTCCCTTCCCCTCCCCACAACAGACACCCCGTGAGGTGGGTGGGGCTGAGAGAACTCTGACACAAACTGCTCTTTTTCAAGGACAGCTGTGCCAGAGCTTGTGACTGACCCAAGGTCACATCAGCAGGTGCAAGTGGAGGAGTGGGGAATCAAACCCGGTTCTCCCAGATTAGAGTCCGCACACTTAACCACTACACCGAACGAGCCCAGGAAGATGTTAACATGGGTCTTATTCTGCCCCGCTGGGCCATGCGGAACTAGAAAGGGATGCAGAGACTTAGTAGCTTAATTTCAGAAAATTAAATGGGTTATTTGTGCACAAGGAACAAAGCGCCACCAAACCCCCCCAAAATACACAAGAGGGAAAGGAAGCTCCAGGATTTACATATGACTAAGAGTAGCAGTTCGAAAGCAAGAAATTGCAAGTAGATAAATAGGTACCACTTCGGTGGGAAGGTAACAGCGTTCCGTGCGCCGCGGCATTTAGTTAAGCCGGCCACATGGCCACGGAGAACTCTTCGGACAGCGCTGGCTCTTCGGCTTGGAAATAGAGATGAGCACCACCTCCTAGAGTCAGAGTCAGATTCGACTGGCTTTCGAGCAAGGGAAACCTTTAAGAGTAGTACAGGATAAATTAAAAATGAAGAGAGTACAGTAGTTTGCTGACTGTAAAACCTTAACCTTCAGTAGAAAGGACAAAGTTTAGCGGAGAGATGAACAATGCATTGCATACATTTGGAAGTATTTGGAAGCATAATAATAAAACATAAACAAAAAATGATTGTCTCTCCTGAGACACCTTAATGTACATTGTAGCTAAAGCTAAATTTCCAGAATTACTCCTAATATGAAACAGCTTTCATGCTTACCAATCAGAGGCTCAGGATCTAGAGCATCACTGAAGGAACACCAACCAATCAGACCCACCCTGTCCTGCCTTTCTGTTCATCAGGGGTGGCACTAGGGTTTTGCCCCATTTCTCAAGGATAGAGAGAGGCATAGATGTAATTTTTCCATGCCCAGTTTATTTCCGAAAAGATCAAAATCCGTGTTCTTGTAACACAAGATGCAGCTTCCTAAACCAGGGTCACTTGAGATCCAGAAGAACTAACAGGGTTACACTACCATATATTTTTCTGGCATATTTTTTTAAATTAGGGTGGCCAAGGAGATATTGGTTTCAAACATATGGTGGAAGCCAGGTTGAAATGGTGGGATTCCGCCTTAGTATAGAGGGCAGCTTGAGTTACCTGATAAGATTGGTAGAAATGTCTCAAATACTGTCATTGCCGCATTCTAAAGAACTGTTTCTAGTATACTTGAGACCAGTGTTCCCTCTAAGCTGAGTTAGTGTGAGCTAGCTCACATTTTTTTAGCCTCCGGTTCACACGTTTTTGTCTTAGCTCAGGAAGGATGGCTCCAGAGCAAACTAATTTATGCAGTAGCCAAATTGCCCACTCACAACTGTAATGCCAGTAGCTCACAAAATAGAATTTTTGCTCACAAGACTCCACAGCTTAGAGGGAGCATTGCTCAAGACTAGTGAATGCCCATTGGGATTATTAATTTTTTGGACAGCAGACAACATCCAGAACATGGGTGGGTTTTTTTAAACTTCCTTCGAGTTTTAGAAGCCATTGACCATGCAAAACTGAAGGGGAGGGGGGCTGCTGTTGAAAAACCTTGCCAGATTTCCAGCCTATGTATAGTAGTAGATCAGAATTTATGATGAAATGTTAGCTATAGTGAGAGAACCAATTCATCTGTAATATTTGTGTGGATTGCCCTATATTTCACTGACATTACTTTGTCAATTTTATGTATGTATGTAAAAACAGGAGACTCTGGTGTCTGGGGCTTGAAAAAGAATTTTGCTTTACTGGAACTCCTCGAGAGACTCCAAAATGGACTCGGTGGCCAGTGTGGAACAACTGAAGAAGCTATTGGCCTCTCTGGGGAGGTAGTGATGAATAACTTTGCCTTTGTCATAAATGTTATGTTTAGTGCCTGTGAGATGAACATAAGAGAAGCCATGTCAGATCAGACTGGCCCATCCAGTCCCAACACTCCAAACTTGCATTTTATTTGCCAAAGCCTGTACTCCCTTTTGTTTACGTCACTCGGACTAACTTTTTACTACTTCCAAGTCCAGGATCACACACCCCCACCCCCTGAGTAGATTCTGTAACCATCTTCTCCATGGCACAGTCATTGAGAGTTTCTAGAAAGCCAGTCTGTCTCTCCTGACTTAAACAGATATTGACCCAATCAAAGTTGAGTTAGAATACTTTCTGTTTCAAAGTTCAATCTTCAGTTATCTGGAATAAATGGTGGATTCCCCCCCCCCCAGTGTTTTACAGTCATAGTTGGCTGCAAGGTTTCCCTTTGTTGCTGTATTAAGAACATCATGTAGCATTGGATCCAGCTATCTTTGTTACCCAGTCTCACCCAAGTCTCCTCCTTTCCGTAGGTTCCAACCCACATGGCTTTTGTGAATGCACTCCCCATGCTTTCCAGCCTAGACTTCTGGGGTGATTTTGGAGCCTCAGCTTTTGTTTTCAACAGAAGAAAAGCTGGTTGGATCCCACCAGAATTACAGATCTTCCTGTACTGTGTGACTTCAGATTGCAAGAAGGGTCAAAGTTTTGATTGAATGCTTCCTCATGAAAGAAAGAAAATGCTGCATATAAGGAAAATAATGTGTACATCAGAGAGATTATTTGGTTGCGACATTTCTAATTATTAGATTAAAACATTTCTCTGTAGCATGTTAACCTTTCCACTGCCAGTGAGCTTCTGACATAAGAATATTCAAACAGAAGATCTACCACCTGCAGTCTGAAGTTGAACAGTCTTAGAAGTGCTCTACCGTGATATTTCTGTAGTTTGCCTTTGTGTTTAGGAGCAAGATGGCCAAGTGTTGATAGGAATTACATTGGACAAGGTTTGGGTTGGGGTTCTGATTGTAATTAGTTGATATATGTTACACTAATCTTTATAAAACCTATGGTCCTGAGCAAATTCAGTGTTCTACTTTTATATAGCAAGACGGTGCTAACGTGCACTGCCTTCTTTGTAGTGCATCATCCGCTGTGATGAAGATGAGACTCATCTTGCCTCAGTGTACTGCACTGTCTGTGCAACTCACCTGTGCGCAGAGTGCTCGCAGCTTACGCATTCTACCAAGACGCTAGCAAAACACAGACGTGTGCCCCTTGCTGATAAACCTCATGAGAAGACAATGTGTTCTCAGCACCAGGTGCATGCCATTGAATTCGTGTGCTTGGAAGAAGGCTGTCAAGCCAGCCCCCTTATGTGTTGCGTCTGCAAAGAATATGGAAAGCATCAGGGTCACAAAGTATGTATTCTTCATCCCCCTCCCCCCCCATAGTACTAAAAATATGTGGCTGTCTGAGGACAATGTATGTGTTGATTCTTTTATTTATTAGTTATTTTCATATAATAGTTTGCTCCCTTTTCCTTTTCTTTTGACTACTGCTTTAATAATGAAAAAGCCACCCGAACAATGTCTTTCTTTGTCCTATGGTTACATGAGCTTGTATCGTATCACTTGGTTCCAAAGAAAGAAGGGTATTTACGTTTTCAAAAGGAAAAGGGCCCTGCTGTGCCCCTCCCTTCAGCAGTGCGGGGGGGGGGCAGCAATCAGAGATGGAGCTTTCTGTAGGGGCACCTTGCCTATGGAATGGCCTTTCCTTTGACTCTCACCTTGTCCCTACTCTACTATCTTTTAGGTGCCCGGCGAGAATGTTTCTGTTTACCTAGGTTTTAATTAAGGGGCTGACTTTTTAACACCATTTTTATACTGCTTTTAGCCTGGAAACTAAGTTTCTGGAAACTGGTGTCTGAGAGCCAGTTTGGTGTAGTGGTTAAGAGTGCATACTCTAATCTGGGCAAACCAGTTTTGATTCCCCACTTCTCCACATGCAGCTGCTGGTGTGAACTTGGGTCAATCACAAGTTCTCTCAAGAGCAGTTCTCGAAAGAGCTCTCTCAGCCCCACCTACCTCACAGGCAGTGTTCCCTCTAAGCTGAGTTAGTGTGAGCTAGCTCACAGTTTCTTAGCCTCCGGCTCGCACATTTTTGTCTTAGCTCAGAAAGGATG